ATTTCATCCTCATTCTTGAACCATGATTTCTCTGGATATACAATTCTAGGTTGATAGTTATTTTCTCTCAGAACATTGAAGATATCATTTCACTAGCTTCTGGATCTCATTATTACTATTAAAAGTCAACTGTCACACCTTTGAATGTAATCTGGTTTCCTCTCCAGGTACTTTTAAGATGTTCCCTTTGTCTTCGGTGTTCTGTAGTTTCCCCATAATATGTCTACGGATTTCTTTCCAAATAGGAAAGGGAAGAAAGTAATAAATATAGACCATCATCTCCATAAGGCTAGGGTCCTTGTTTGTCTTATTCACATCTGTACTCTTAGCCCTAGCACAGGGCCTAACACATAATAAGAATGCAATAAATATTTGATGCATAATGAATAAATTTATAAATAATTCTAATTAGTTTTCTTATGAATAATAAGGAAACCCATCTCATATCTCAGCATATGTAATAAGCATATGCTATCTCAGATGTTAATAGAAGATGAAAGAGGAAATTGAATCTTTTGGTCACTGTTCTTTTTTAGAGTAAGTTTCCCTGTTGTTCCCCTATGAATCTAAGGAGAACTTAACTTGAATTTACATTTAAATAAGCTTGCAAATGAAAGTTTGAAGTCCTAGAAGTTTATTAGAGCCTAGCAAATTCTGAATACTCAGTAAGCATTAATCACAAATAATGAGTATAACTCACTACATTTCAAACTCGGTCTCAGAGTATGACCTAAAGGAAACACAAAATCTATTCCAAGCCTTGTATTTTTCAAGTATTAGATTGATGTAGCAGAGAGGGATATAAATTCCATAGTGAGTGTCATGTTTATTTTCTTTCTGCTTCACCTCTCCTTTATCCCTATCACTCTACCCCAACACACACACACACACACACACACAGAGTCCATCATAAGAAATGATATGCATTATTTCTTGGCTTCTATAGGTTTTCACCCTGACTCAAAGCCTTGTTGTAGCTGACTACTATGAATTCTCTTCTCACAATTTTGCCAAATGTAAAGGGTATGGGATTTCAATATAAATCCTATTTTTGTCATAATACCTTTATAATTTTGGGCAAGTTATTTAACTCATGTGAGCTTTGGTTTCCTCATCTGTAAATTGAGAAGAAAAATAGCTACTTTATGGCTTATAGTGAGGATTAGAGATATCATATAAAATGCCTAGCACATTACTTTGTGCATGGTATGCACTCGCTAGGCATTAGTTCGCCCTTCTTCTACTAAGCTTTCCAGCTACCTCCAGGACCAGATAAGGTGGAAAAGGCATAATCCCAAGAGATTGTTCTGGTGTTGCAGAGCTCTGAAACGACAAATGACTCAAGCGCATATCTGAGATGACCAAATATAAGGATTATAGTTATTGTTCTTACAAGGATAGCAAGAGGTAATCACTAATAATTCTGGGAAGATCTTATTTGTGTTAGATGTTGGCAGCTCTAGGCATATGTGTAAAGATGATATGGAGGCCCATTTCCTAGGGCATGTAGACTGAATGTGTCCCACTGTCCCCTGTCACACATGAAACTGCTGTCACTGTGCTATCCACCTAACCCCATATCTCAAGAACATACAAAAAGGGGGGAAAAAAGCTGAGACTCTGGCATGCCACTATTGGGTAGTTTTCTATCCTTAATCTATATTATTCCCCCGTTCTTGTTTCTTTTTGTGTAAACTCTTTGTCTTATTGCAGAGGTTGGCAAATTTTTTTAAACATAAAATGATGGACAGTAAATATTTTAGACTTTGTGGGCCGTATGGTCTCTGCTACAACTACCCAAATTTGCAGTTGTAGCAGAAAAGCAAGCAGAGACAATATATAAACAAATGAGCATGGCTGTCTTCCAATAATACTTTATTTACCAACTGAATTTTGAATGTAATTCATATAATTTTCATGTCATGAAATATTCTCCTTGTGACTTTTTCCAACCATTTGAAAACATAAAAATCATCCCTGACTCGTAGGCTGTACAAAACAGGTAGTAGGGTAGGTTTGGTCTACAGGCCATAGTTTGCCTACTCTGGTCTATTGTTTTTCTGAATTTTCCATATTTGTCTTCTCACAACTTGTGAAAGTCATTTCCTGAGTTGAATATTAAAACAAATATATTTCTATGTTTAATTATTGTCTTAGTTTTCTATTGCCACCACAACAAATTGTCATAATTTAGCAACTTAAAACAATGCAGATATATTATCTCACAGTTCTGTAGCTCAGAAGTCTCGATTGGCTTGATTTGTTTCTCTACTCAAGGTTCACAAAGCTGAAATCGAGGTGTCTGCTGGCTGAGCTCCTATCAGGAGGCTTTGGGAGGATCCCACTTCTAAGCTCATTTTGGTGGGCAGAATCTGATTCCTTGTGGCTGTAGGAATGAGGCTCACATTTCCTTGTTGGCTATTAGCTAAGAGCCCTAGCTTGAGCTCCTAGAGGCCTCTCTCTCTGGTCCTTGCATGTGGACCTCTACATCTCAGAACATTCTCAGTGCATCAAATCTTTCTCACATTTGAATCTCTCTGACTTCCCATTCTGCAGGGTCACAGTGTCTAACTTCTTCCTCTGGTTTTTTGTTGTTGTTGTTGTTGTTGTTGTTTGAGGAAGATTAGCCCTGAGCTAACATCTGCTGCCAATCCTCCTCTTTTTGCTGAGGAAGACTGGCCCTGAACTAACATCCATGTCCATCTTCCTCCACTTTATATGTGGGACGCCCACCACAGCATGGCTTGACAAGCAGTGCATAGGTCTGCACACTGGATCCAAACAGGTGAACCCCGGACCGCCGAAGCAGAACGTGCAAACTTAACCGCTGCGCCACCGGGCTGGCCTCTCTTCTTCCTCTGTTTTTAGTACCTCAGTAATTACTTTGGGCCGCCCCAGATAATCCAGGACAATCTCCCTATATTGAGGTTAGCTGATTAGTGACTTTAGTTTTGTCTGCAAAGGTCAATCATAGCAATACCTAGATTAGCATTTGGTTGAATAATTAAGGGACAGGAATCTTGAGGGGACATCTTTAAAATTTAGAATAGCACAATTACCACCTGGATTTCCACATAAGTAATAATGTATGAGTCTATAGATCACTTGAGATATATGCAGAAATAATTTAACCCATTTAAGCATTTAGTTTTGTTAAATTAGACCTTTTTAGATTTGATGTATTCCATAAGTATATTTTATATAGGTTTGGAGCTAATCCAGTAGTCCTTGCTTCTCAATAGGTAATCTAGTTACTTGGAAGTAAATCTGAGATGTGCATGTTATAGTCTTTCCTTTCAGTGAATAATTTGCTCCAAGGATAACATTTTCACATTTTTGCCAGTAATAAAACTGTGTTTCATATATGATTTACCTTTGTCTCCTACATTCAGAAGTAGGACTTGAGGGTAATTGCTGTGGGGAACAAATTGACATATTTTTCTGGAGTAATTTTTACATATATTTATATATGGAGTAATTTTTATTTGTTTTTGCTGAGGAAGATTTGCCCTGAGCTAACATCCGTTGCCAATCTTCCCCTTTTTTGCTTGAGGAAGATTAGCCCTGAACCAACATCTGTGCCAGTGTTCCTCTATTTTGTATGTGGGTCACTGCCACAGCATGGCTGATGAGTGGTGTAGGTCTGCGCCCAGGATCCAAACCCACAATCCTGGGACACTGAAGCAGAGCATGCTGAGCCCAACCACTATGCCACAGGGCCAGCCCCCATATATGGAGTAATTTTTTATATTTATATATCCAATTGCTATTTTCTAAGTCCAGTTACTTACTGAATCATATGCATATAGTACTCTAGGGTTAGACATCTCTATTTGACGCTCAGCTGCTTTTCTTCAACTGCCATGTCAGACTTGTCACCAGTCTTGCTGTTCTCATTCTCAATGGCCCAAGTATCTATCTTTGTTTTCACACCTTTCCCCTGTGATACCCTGATATACATCTTCATCATTTTCTATCCTATGTGTTGCAATAATTTCCTAGTTGGCTTACCTGTTTCTGGTTTCTCCTTTCTCCGTATAATGTTCCAGAGATTATATGATCCAACCTGAACTTTAGCAAAACTCCTAGAATTCCCCATTACCTCCAGAAGGCATGTCAACTCCTTAGTGGTACATTCAAAGATTTCCATGGGATAACCCTATCCTACATTTCAACTTCATTTTCCATTATAATCTTCCATAGAGGTGTTGGGAAAATGAGCCATGTTCTGAGAATGGCAAATAGGCCTATGCAACTGGGGTAAAGGGTTTGCGGAACCGTTGCTGGTGGGGCTTAAAAGATGGATATGATTATTCAAAGATCCTTCTTTTCTACCTTCAACATTCAATTGATTGTGAGATCCAGGCAGGCCCTTCTACCACCTACATTTTTATCTCCTCCTCTCTGTTAGTCTTGCTGTTGTCCTAGTTTGGATCTTGTCATCTCCCTCCTGGATTATTGCCATGATCAACCTGCCTCTTTGTCCTATTCTCTCTTCACTCTAACCCAGTCATTATATTACATCAAGGTATCTTTGTAAAACAGTGTGATCATGGCCCTTTTGTCATTCAAAACCTTCACTTGTTCCCCATTGTTTCCATTGAAGATCATTTACCCATTAATGCAGTGGTTAAGAACTTGAACCCTAGGCCAGAATGCTTGGAATGGGATCCTGGCTCTACCACTTACCAGCTATGTGATGTGAGGCATGTCATTTTATTCCTCTAAGTCTCAGTTTCCTCATCTGGACAATGGGGATAATAATGTTTATATGGAGTTTTTATGTGGATAAAAATATATTAAGTATGAAGATCAATTAGCAAGGACCTGGTACATGGTATATATTCAACTAATAGTGACCGTTCTAATCACCATAAAATACTCTAGAAATTCAGATGGACTCTATAAATAACTAGCTATTTTTTATTTAATTAGGGATTTTTGAGAGTTATTTGGCTAAATAATTAAATTTCAGTACTTTCTCTTTTTCCCTTGCGTAGGCAGCTAAGGATTGTAACTGGTGAATGGTTTTTTGAAGAAAAGGCAAAGCGTTTCAAGCAAGTTAATGTTCTGGGCACTGATGTTGTCCGACAGTCCATCTTAAGAAGAAGTCCAGGTAATTAAAGCAGTTATTTGGTTTCAAAACTGTTTTAATCTTCATTTTGGTGAGCTAAATAACTTCCCTATATTATGTAGCAAATGAGCACAGTTGAATTCCTTGAATCCCTTAGGTCATTTCAAAACTCCTTAGCATAAAATCTAAATCTGCAATTCATACAAGGGAAGAAGAGGAAGTCAGTAGAAAATAAAATCCACAGTGATTTTCCATATATCTGACACACTGAGATTTTCAAAGCAGTCATTTGTCTTCATTACAGACAGTTCTTTTCCTGAAGGCACTTGCAATCTTTTACTAAACATTTAAGAAAGTAACACAAAACAGATGAATTAAATGATTCACATTGTGAAAGCAATCCTTGATTTTTCAACAGAATGTATTTTACATTTCTTTTAAATGTTACTTTTTCCAATTCCGTGTTCTCAACCAAGGGGTGATATTATATCCTTTGCCCCCCTCCCCTAAGCCAGGGAGCATTTAGAAATGCAAGGGGGCATTTCTAGTTGTCACAATGACTCAGAGGAATTAACAGCATTTAGTGGACAGGAGCCAGAGATGCTAAATGCCCTGAAATGCACAGGACAATTTCATTCAATGAAGAATTATACTGGCACCAAATGCAAATAACACCCCACTTTAGAAATGCTATTCTGTGCGTTCATACTGCAATTTAATTGGTTAATTATCAAGTGAAACTTGCATTTAGGAGCATATTTCTCATGTATGGTGTAATAAAGGTGGAGCAGGCATCTTTTTGCCTGTTCTGAGGCAATTTTGTCTTTCATATACTGGAGACAAATGTCTTTAGTTTTAAGTCTGGCACATAGGACTGGAGGCTTGGAACTGATTCCAGTGCCACTTCTGGATGTGATACTAGCAAGGAAGGGCTTTCCCAGATGGGTAACATCAGGTCTCATACCGCACAGGGACAGAGCGGAGTCAAGTTAGAATTAAGCAGTTAGCCGTGGCTGCTTCCTCCACTCAAACCTCAGCATCTTCCAGAGTGTAGACTCTCCCTCAAGTCACAAAGTGCATGCACAGGGGCCCACCCTCCCAGGAAGTCTGACTTATGTGCTCAGAAATCAGGGTATTGTTTCTAGAATCGTGTGCTAGAATTCAGTCTCTAGGAATTTGCAGTTCTCATGAACCCATGCTCCTCTGCCTTAAAAATATCTGTAGAGGGCTGATGTATCCTTCTTCCATTGTAGTCGTCTAGAAAGCTTATCTCAGCACACCTCCCACAGAGGAGTCCTGATCTTGGTCCTCATTTAACTCCAGAACACTCAACAGATTAAAAATAACTATGCGACCGGGAAATTTGGGATGGGACTGTTATTGCCAATTATTATAGACTTCTTTGTTTTGTGCTAATGTAGGGAAGTGAATGCAGAATAGAAAATTGCCCTCATTTCTGGCCATTTTGTATGTAAATTTGTCTTCTCGTTGTTTTTAATGAGGAGCTGAAGAAATACAAAGCCAAGAGCAAACCCGTCAGGATGCAGAAAAGTCAGACACTTCACCTTCTGCTGGGCAGAAGGCCAGCCATGACGGGCCCAGGAGAAAAGGGTAAGACGCAGCCTCGCCGAGGGAATTTTTGATCTTTGTTCCAGATATTGCTGACATAAAGATTCCTTAGTTTTTTAAGTCTGATGTCACTTCGGTGACCCAGAGAAGATCAGAAACTCGACCAGGTCAACACTCTCCTATCATTCTCCTCAAGAAATGCAGTTTTAATTACTTTAGTCTTAGGTAAATTAAGCTCCCCTCTGACCTGAACATGTAAGAGTTTTTCTTTCTTTTGGTGTATCTGGCGTTGCACCAAATTTCCCATGACTTCTAGGTAGAAGGTGTTCTGCCAGGACCAGTCTTGTCTATAAAGAGGTGATGACTGCCCTTGTTGGAGAGTATCAACACCCCCTTAGGCTGAGTGCTGATATGTGAAACACCCAAGCCCATATCTTAACTGAGCTTAAAACGTTATACCCTTTGTTTAAAATACAGGCTTTCTTAAGGAAAAAAAAAAATCACATTTGGCCACCTCAGTAACTTAATTCGGAAAGCAAGTATATGTGTCAAGTACTGAGAATAGGAATAGGAGGCACATAGGGAAGCAAGATTCAAGGAGGCACTGGGGACCTGGGGGCAAGAGGGTTCCAGCAAGGGAGAAAAGTGCTCCCCAGATGCAGGCTATAGGGACCAAAAGGCAGACTGCTGCTTCACAGCCCTGCATTTTGGAGTTTTCATTTCTCAGACTGCTGTCGGCCAGTTTTGTGGCTGAGGTAGTGAGAGTTCTCATATTCACCAAGTCACTTTATGGTCCTTTCCAGGTAGCATTGCTTCGTTCTCTCAGCGGGAGCCAAGGTGAGAGACTACCAATGTCTGAGCCTTTAGCTGGCTCGACAGAAAGTCTGGGTTGTTTTAGAATCATAAACTGTGAGTAGGAACGAAACCTAAATGTCATCTAAGTCAAACACTCATGACTAACCATGTCTTCATTAATGAGCAGAAATGAATGGGAAAAATAGCTTAGAGTGACTATACATCCTATGCATTGATCCTTCCTACCATATTGAGTCCATTTGTCACTCCTGAGGGCTCCCACAATGCCTTGTGCCTGTGTATCACTTACTAGGTTGCACTCTGACGCCCCCTCCCCCAGTCCTCCCCACCCACAGTTAATTGTAAACTCCCTTAGTGCTGGACCTGTGACTTTTTTGGTTTTGTACTACAGCATCCAGCATGGTGCCTGGCTCATCAAAACCATCAATGGCTTGAGTGAATAAGTAACTCAGAGCCCACAAGTGCTTCTAGGAGCTGTAGTTTGCAGACCCCATCCCAGACATAACTGCATAGGTTACAGAATGCTGGGTTTGGAGCTGGGAGACAATAAGCAACTCACCAGCATGATGAATTATACGCACCCTGAATCGTTAAAAACAGTCAAGCACTCGACAGAGCCCTTCTGGAACTCAAAACTAGGATCTGATGGTTCTCAGTCTTCAAGAAATATAACACCTAGTTGGAAAGAAAAGGTACACACCTGAAAAAATAATATATATGGAGGAATTTTAGTAAAATATAAGATGACAGTATGAGCTGCCAGAAAGGCTTTCTAAAACATGGCAAGGTGTCAACTAACTACAAGAGATGTCATGAGGCGATAAATAATTGAGTAAATATTAAATAAGTAGCTTAGATAATCAATGTTGGGAGGGCACAGGGGCCTTGGGAAAAGACACCAAATTGTAAATGGGACTTGATGAGGACCTTGAAAAGTGGATGGGGTCCAAGATAGCAAAAGGGGGAGAAGACTGATTCCAGGTGGAGGAGACACCTTAAGTAGAATTGTGGAAGTGGGGACACGTACAAGGTGATTCTCAGGGGAGCATAGATTGACATTACATTAAAAGTTATTTTTACCAAAAATGTAATTTTCCAGTGAAATTGAAGCTTCTGACACATTGACAAGACACTCTTCCAGGAGTCTTTGAAGCAGAGACAACTTGGCAGATTCTATTAAATTTGCCCCAGTACATTTGGAATACATTTCCCCCACACCTAGAAAACTATAGAATGTCAAGTAAATGAACTGGTCTCTCCCAGTGCCATCACAAAAAGAATATTGTTTTGGGTTTTTTTTATTAAAGCTCATTTGGAAACCCCCATATTTTGGGCATTTAGTAGCCTGGATCATGACTTGAACCTCAGTTCCTGAAAAGCTATTTTTGCTTAAGTTCCAAATAATTTAGTGAAATGGGAATGCAATCAAATTTCATCCCATGAGATACTCCATATTCAAACTTCGTTCCTACAGGGAGAGATGTCATGGCAGATGTGAAGATGGTTTCTACCACATGGGTTCGGTCATTCATTCCACAAGAACTGGTTGGATTCTAGTGTGTGCCAGGCACCACTCTAGGCTCAGGGGACTTGGTAGGGAACAAGAGGGGCAGAGGTGCTGTTCTCATGGAGCTGTAGTTAGGAAGTTGCCACCTCAGTTTGTCCCAGAGGACCATCCTAGCTCCTCTCTCTGGGCAAAGTGAGTTCAAGCTCCCTATACTCAGCACCCTTGCCTACAGGCTCAGCCCAGGCAATACTTCTCTATTCTTGGGTGACAGTGGTGAGTTCCCAAAGTCAATGGTCTTTTTCTTAGCAGGGACAGAGGCCTGGCTTACCAGCAAGTGGTATGACCTTGGGAGAATGTCATAACCTCCTCCCCCACCACCCTTGACACTATACTGCAGAGGCACTGGGAACTCCCCAGAACCTCTCAGCCCCAAGGCTGCTTTATTGAAGAGTCATTTACTGTTGAAAGTACAAGAAATGGTATTCTTGAAATGATATTTTCCAATGCTTTCTTTCTTATCTTACTTTTAAATACATTTATATATATAATTTCAGATTTCTTCTTGGCAAGTTCAGATCAGCAACCAGAGGAGAAATCATAACTCCAAAATGTGAAAGTGGGCGGAGCTACAGCTTGGACTTAGACAGCCAAAGTTTTCGGAGTTTAAAGTCAGCCCCTGGTTCAGACAGGTAAGACACATACAGATTGGGCAATGGGGTTCTCTGAGAACAAGGTCAATGTATTTCCATCTAAACAATGCTTCTAGGTACCTGTAAAGTATTGCCTCTTGGAGAACTCATAACACATAATGTGAAAAGCCAAGCAGATATTTTTTAGTTGAACTGGAAAGCACTTACACTTCTGGAATTACAGTGATTGAAATCATGTGTGTCACCTGTAGGTATGCGACTTTATGTTTTGGGACTCAGGGCTGCGGTTCAAATGGAGATGTACAGGGAAAATAAATTCTTTTCATTGGTTTCTTCATCTTTGTCTGTTTAAGCTTCTGGAAAAGAAACTTCTAAGTGTCGTAAACATTCCTTGCAGCTTTTTAAAAATTATTAATAATTTTGTCATTTGAATCGCCTCAGAGAATTTCCATAAATTCCACTAGTTCCACCTCCTCTAACTTGTTATCAGTAGGGCCAGGTGAGAATCTCCTAGGCACAGAGCTATCACCTTGTCAGAAAGAGTAAAGAGAAATAGAAAGGAGAGCCAGAGCAGAGTCATTTCATATTAGGATTTTCTTTATCCTGTTGGGGCATACATCAAGGCTTATTTCCATGATTAGTGTATTATCAAAGCCAGCGATGAGAAAAAATATCAACCCTCGTATTTCACTGGTTTGTCCAAATGTTAACCTGGACAAACACAAGGAATAAACTTGTGCTTGGTAGGACCTGCAGTAATTCTGCAAAGCCAGGTAGTAAAACTGGCAGACTTCCTTTTCTCTTTAAGTTCTGCGAGCAGATTTGCATTCTCCCCTGTAATTCATTTTAGAATACGGAACAGCAAATTCTCCTAGAGGGAACACTCTTTTGGCTATCGGGGGTTTTCTCATGGTGACTCTCCATACCTATTTCTTTTTTTCCCTATAGCCTTCCTGCAAACTAGTGTCACTTTCTGTAAAACTGCACAGAAAAAACTAAGGAAGCATAAAATAAATCATTTATCATCCACTGTCAAAAGCTCGTCTCTGTATTCAGTATTTTCCAAATTTTCAAGAATGTAGAGGGGCCAGCCTGGTGGTGTAGTGGTTAAGTTTGCACACTCTGCTTTGATGGCCCGGTGTTCGCTGGTTCGGATCCTGAGTGCGGCAGACCTACACACTGCTTATCAAGCCATGCTGTGGCGGCATCCCACATGGAAGAACTAGAAGGACTTACAACCAGGATATACAACTATGTGCTGGGGCTTTGGGGAGGAAAAAAAAAAGAATGCAGATATATTTCCTTTATGATAAAAAATGGAAGCTATGGTTGCTTTTGTCCTTGAAATAGTTTCCTTTGACTTCCCTTGGGGTAGCCCCATGCTGTCTTTTGGTGTGTGTGTCCCACAAACAAATTTATATAGAAATCTCATTTTTGTTTTTGATTGTTGAACTCCTGACTCCCAGATATCAAAATTATTTAGAGATGATAAGCGACTAGCTTAGTGTTGCTATTTTTCCTCAGCCTCCTAGAGACTCCATGGATGGTCCATCTTGGGTTACACTTCGGGTTCGCATTTGAGAAGGAAAATATATATAAAAAGAGGAAAGGTAGAGTTCCTTGTTAAAAAAAAACAAAAAGTCTCCTGGCCCAACTAACGAAATTAGATTGTTCCATTTGAAATTATCTTACAGTTACTCAATAAGAATAAGGGGCGTGCTCTCTAATATCACAGTGCTTATACTGTTCTTCCAGAATCTGTCTGCTTGGGGTTATTCCTTGTGTCTTATCTACTGCCAAGTATAAATAACCATAAAGCTGTAAAGCCATATGGACATGTTTCACCAAATACTGGTGTACGGATCAAGGGATTTCTTGTTCTTGTTGTAGACTGGAAGGAGGTCCCTAAATAGATTTTATCCTTTAAATTGTAAATACCTGAAATGGTTTACAGTTAATGAGAATATAGTAGTCAGAGGTGCTTTGGCTTAAGCATGCCAAGAGCAATGTTTTTTCATTAAGAAAGAGCATAAAGATGTTTGAGAGATCAGTAGAGCAAAATGTCCATTTCCCAGAACGTGCACCTATCCCAGTGATGACTCATTAATGGACTGCCACGGTGAGATGAGTTACACTATCCCAAAATTATTCCTTAGGAAGTTGGGGCAGGAGGTGACTCAGCTTTTCTTAACTCCCATCACCTAAAGCTGTTAACTCCCTTTTGTTTGCTTGGATTTACAGTAATTCTGCAAAGCAAAGTAGTAAAACTGGCGGACTTTCTTATCTCCTTAGGTTCTGCAAACAGAATTGCAGTTCTCCCCTGTAATTCATTTTAGAATATGGAACAGCAAATTCCCTGAAAGAGATTGTAAGATCCCAGTCTCTTTGGTCTATTATCTGACCCAGCTTGGCATTTAATCCCCCTTTCTCCTCCACAATGCATATTTCTTCATGGTTCGTTGCTCTTTTCCTGGAGCAGCTGGGCTTGGACATTCTCTTTTAAAAACTTGTGTCATATCAGAGTGGAAATGATGTTTTATCAGATGCCTCGTTGACTTTATGTCTTTTCAGTAGTTTCAAAGCAGGGGAAAGTATGAATGACTTAGGCAAAGCCCAGCAGCCTCTCAGTAGAGCATGGCACATGGCTCTTCCCTGGTTGCTAGGGACATGATACACAAGGCAAAGAAGATTTTTTTAAAATAATATGAATGTAAATCGTAGTTAATAAACAGAATGCTCTTCAAGGCAGTGACTCCCAATCCCTTTCACTTTGTGTCAAGTTGTCAATTTGGTGTCATTTGTGAGATCTCTATCTTAAGTCATGCTCTCCCAGAAATGAACCCTCAGGCAAGGATTCATAAGTAAGTGATTTATTAATGAAATGATTTCGGGAGAAACCAGTAAGGGAGTAGGAGAAGCAGAATTGAAGAAACTAAGCAATGGTGCTATCTCAGGTGAGGTCTGAGTCTGAGGACTCAGCTTGATCCTGCAAGAAACTCGGGAGCCTAAATTATATCTCTGAGTTTTTCCATTTTGAGGAGCTGGACCATTGCATTCCTATACCAATCAGTCATTGACTACAGATTCCCTTGGGTAGGGTTTCCAAATTTAGCAAATAAAGATACAGGATGCCCAGGCAAATTTGAATTTCAGATAAACTACTTTTTTTATAAGTATGTCCCATGAAATATTATTTTCATTTCTAAACTTTATCAATCTTAGTATATTTTTTAAAGTGAAAATTTATTCAGGGGCCAACCTGGTGGCACAGCGGTTAAGTGCGCACGTTCCGCTTCTGTGGCCTGGGGTTTGCCAGTTCGGATCCCCGGTGCAAACATGGCACCTCTTGGCAAGCCATGCTGTGGGAGGCGTCCCACATATAAGGTAGAGGAAGATGGGCACGGATGTTAGCTCAGGGCCAGTCTTCCTCAGCAAAAAGAGGAGGATTGGCAGCAGATGTTAGCTCAGGGCTAATCTTCCTCAAAAACAAAATTATTCATTGTTTATCTGAAATTCAAATTTAACTGGGAGTTCTGTATTTTATCTGGCAACTCTACTGTGGGGGCTTGGGAGAAACACACTCCAAAGCGTCTCTTGGGCCTCTAGCTCCTGCGGTAACGGCACATCTCTGAAGGTCACAGTGCAGACCGTTAGCAAAAAAGCAATCAGAAGCTAGCCATGGGCACACAGGGCTGGTGCGAGGGGATCTGGGTAGGATATCAACAATGTGCCCTAAAAACACAAAGGAAAAGTACAACTTTGAACTTAAAATTCCCTCTGTTCAGTAAAAATGGATAAAGGATGATGTCGTGTTTCTCAGCAGCATTTCTATCATGATACTGGAGGATATGGCAAGTGTTTTGCCATGAGACCTTGTACATTCTCATAACCAACTGATTTCTCATCCTGCCTCCCTCCCCCACCCCAAACACATACTGCTTTTATCTAGTTATTCTCAATTGCTCTCTAGGAGACGAGGGACTGACTGTCAGTCTCTATGAAGCCTCACAAGCTACTTGGATTGGCTTTGATCCCAAAGAAGACTACACCATTCACACCAGCTCTAAGCTGGTCCTCACCCTCCTTCCAAGCACTACCCTTCTCTCTTTCTCTGTCTCTGTCTCTCTCTCCCCCTCTCTCTCCCTCTCTCCCCCTCTCTCCCTCTCTCCCTCTCTCTGTCCCTCCAGTAAACAAGGAATGTTTGGTACCTTCATGACTAAAGAAGTCATTCTTTCCTCATATCTATTATTTTGGAAAAATTAGTGATGAGTTTACGAAACCCATTCCATCATTACATGATACATCCTTTTTGTTTTATCAGAAGTAAAATTATTTTCCTGTCCTGAATATGATTTTCATTAACATCTTTGCAATTAAGATGCCAAGTAAGCCACACCCTCTTACCAGTAATCTGAATACAGCAAGGTGTGAGTGTTCTGGCTCTGAGTGAGCACCACATCCACAAAGTCAATACTGGTTTGTTTTGCGTATTAGATAAAACACTATATAGCTAGTTGCTAATACACTTAGCAAACTCCTTCCCTTACTTGGCTTTAAAAATTGTTCAGATTTATAACACATCTCTAAAGGTATATAAATTTATTTCACAGTACTAGCTGTGATGGTTCTGTGACTCAAAAGGATAAAGGGTGTAAAGAGTGCCCTCCTGGGGAAAATTACTTTCACCTCTTTCCTGTGCCTTTCCTCCATTTGTCTGGTGCTAATTCCTCTTTCTTCTTATTTTAACCTACTTTGGGTGATCTCAGCCTTCCTTAGTGGCAGCAAGGGGTGGACAGTCAAAGCCACAAAATTTTCCGAATGCTAACAGTCTAAAGTGGTTCACAAAACCATGGTGTCCTGAGAAGAGTGAATCTTACTTCTGTGAAGTGATGGACATGTGATAGAACAGGTGAGGAAATGTGGATTCACAAAAGTATTTAATTTACTTGAACTGTGACCATATCGGTGGGAGTTACATGAGGTCTGGAATTGCCAAATAATTCTTCAGCTAGAAACTTCTATTTATAACTCAAAACCAT